GTGCAAATGGGATGAAGCACGGAAGAAGTCTTGGGTAGTGGTCCCAGGACGTAGAGTATGCTGCTATTCTATTATTACTGCTATATTAAGCCACAAGATAAAATGTTCTTTACCGAGAAAAAAGAGCTACACCAAAATGCTACTAGTTATATTAATAAATGAAAGGATTATAGGTAAATTTTGTTTTTCTCTGATTTTCTGTATTTTCCTAATTATAAAAACAATTCCAGAAACTGAATATAAACGAGAGTGGTCCCTCATGGGTTCCACAGAATTAGCATTATACTTAATTAATTAACTAATTAATTAAGAATGTAAAAATACAAATATGCTTTGTACTAGCCCAAAAATGACACACACAACATAACCTGGATAAGAAAGCTTCACTTAACTGTAATAGTATGATCAGAAAAAAAAAGGAATCAAAAGAAAGAGTGAATAGTTTCTTTACTCCTTCAACAAGAGAAAAATTCTCTGTTTCTTCACATTCACTTTAAAATCCTTTAGCATTTTTTAGATGCAGGCACCCCTAATTTAGGCTATCTCCAAAGGACTTGGCTATATAGCAAAGAGTCATGGGGAAGAAATTTCTCATTATTTAACCTATTATTTTTTTCTCACATACACTAAACTGATCAAGTTACCTGTAGGGCTACAGTTACAGCTGCATTTATGTTACTGTTGCATGGTGAAGCAGTATTTGTCCTTGATGGCTTTGCAGTACTTGGGGAAGAAACTGACATAGCTGTCTGGCTAAGAACATCCTTCTGAACAGTAGAATCCTCTATCAGATCCTTTTCTTGCTGAGTTGTACTAAGAAAAAAAGAGCATAATGTTAGAACAGCACACGGAAACAGGTAAGCAAATGATCAGGAAAAAAAAGCAATCTTAATGTAGAAGATCTTCTATATCAAAACCTGTACCTTAATGCAGGAGGCTCAGCTGTACATGAAGGACTGGTACTTATACTGAGTTGCTGGGCAGAGCTACAGTCTGTTTGTTCATCCTCTGCAGGAACCGGGCAACTAACTTGTCTCAACTCTTCATTATCCTTAAAGTAAAAACATATTTCAAAATTGTACTTTATAGCAGAGTACAGCACAGAGAGTGTAGTCCATAACTATGTATAGCATCAGGTGCCTACGAGACTCTGCAAGTTATACAAACATCTAACCACTATGCTGTAAACCTGAAGTTAATATTGAATGTCAACTATAATTGAACAATAAAAAAAATCTTTTAAAAACTGGACCTATATAGGTAGCTCAGTGGATCAAGCGCCAGCCAGCCTGTGAACTTAAAGGGCGCTGGTTCAATTTCCAGTCAGATCGCATGCCTGGGTTGTGGGCCAAGTCCCCAGGCACAAGAGGCAACCAATCAATGAATGCTTCTCTCCCTCTTTCTCCCTTCGTTCTCTTCTGTCTAAAAGTAAGTAAATTTTTTTTAATTGGACCTATACAGACATTTCTCCAAATAAGATATACAAATGATCAACAAACATATATGAAAAGATGTTCAATATCATTAGTCATTAGGGAAATGCAAATGAAAGCCACATCAAGAAACCACTTCATACTAATTAGGATGGCTATAATCTACAAGACAGGCAATAACAGAAGTCAGTGATGATATGGAAATACTGAAACTCTCAAGCAATGAGGGTGATGATGTAAAATGGTGTGGCAACTTATGAAAATAGTCAGGCGGTTTCTCAAAAAGTTGAAACTTAAGAGTTACCACAGCTCACTCTTGGATACATACCCAAGGAAAACATGTCTGCAAAAGACTTATACACAAATGTTCACAGTAGCATTATTCATAATAGCCCAAAGGTAATAAGAACCATCTAAATGTTCATCAATAAGTGACTGGATAAACACAGTGTGGAACAGTAGTTCCTCCTTAGCCACAGGGGCTATGTTCCAAGAACCCCTGAAACTGCATAGTACCAAACCCAATTTATACTATTTTTCTTATACATACCCATATCTACAATAACATTTAATTTGTAAATCAGGCCTAGTAATTAACTAACAATAATAATTAATAATGAGTAATTAAAACAATGTACTATAATAAAAGTTTTGTGAATGTGGTTTGCCTCTTTATCAAAATATCTTACTGTACTGTACTCGCTATTTCACTTAAAGGAATCACCCTATGGCTTCTATTTGGCATATACTAAGCGTCAACCTCACTACTCTTGTGCTTTGGGGCCATTATTAAATAAAATAAGGGTTACCTGAACACAAGCACTGTGACACAGTATCACCTAACCTGACAACCAAGAGAGACTAAAGGCTGGGTAGTGTATACAGTGTGGATATGCTGGACAAAGGGATGATTCACAACCCTTGCAAGCTACTCAGAATGCCATGCAATTTAAAACTTATGACCTGTTTACTTCTGGAATTTTCCATTTAATATTTTTATATCATGGTTGACATGGGTAACTGAAATCACAAAGAAAAATTCTGGATAAGGGGGAGGACTACTGTATATTGAAATATTACTGCCCAATGAAAAGAATAAATGATGACACATGCCACAATAACGGATGAATCTTGAGGACATCATGCTAATTGAAATAAGCTAGCCACAAAAGGACAAAATACTCTGATTATTCTTAAGAGGTAACTATAATATTCATAGAGACAGAATAGAATGCTGGTTGCCAGGGGCTGATGGAAGGAAGAATGGGATTTGCTGTTTAATGGTATAGTTTTAGTTTTGTAAGATAAAAAGACTTCTGGAAATTGGTCGCACAACAATATGAATGTATTTAACACAATGTATTCAGTATGTATGTACTGAACTGTACATATGTAAGAGTAATTAAGATGATAAATTCATGTTACGTGAATTTTACCAGAATTAAAACAAAAAGAAAAATAACACAGGTACAAAGATCAAAATTAGGAAAGCTAAAACAAGAAAGCCAAGGTCCAACATCAAATTAAGAGTTCAATAAAGAGAAAAGAGGTAAAGAATTTATCAAAGAGAAATACAAAAAAGTTGTTCCCACATGAAGGTCATGAGTTTCTAGATTTAAGAAAGTCCACCAAGCATGCAGTAAGATGACTTTGGGGTAAGAAAAAAAAGCCACAGCAAGACACATCATCATGAAATTCACAGAATATCGGGAATGAATAAAATGTTCTTAAAAGCCTCCAGAGACCTGGGGTCGGGGGTGGTGGGGAAGACAGGTGATAGGAAAATCAGAAATCAAAACCACGGGTTTCTGAAAAGACTCTCTGCAAGCTAGATTATTTTCTAAGCAAGATATAAAAGGAACAAACTATAAAGGAAAGACCACCAAACAAACCATATCAAAGATGAGTCAACCCAATTTAAAAATGTGAGAAATAGTTGACTCTTTATAAACACACACAAAATAAGCCCTATCGCTCAGCAATTTCACTATATTACACCCTAGAAATGTTCTTGCTCACAAAAAGAAAAGGTTTGAACAAATTCATAGCAGTACTTATCATGGCAAACAGACAAAAAATAGCTCAGGTGAGGGGAAAAGGCAGAAAACTATACTTGAACAACAATAAAAAAAATTAACATAAAAAATAACCCTAATGTCCATCAGTAGAATGTTATATTCTTTTAAAAAATATTTTCCAACTTTAAATGTTATATTTTTACAATGGAATATTACATAGTGAAAAATGAAGAATTTTTATAAACAGTGATGGAGTTGATACAATACAGAAGAAAAATAAGAGAAGAATATATATTGTATATTTCCATTTCTGCAGTGTTCAAAAACAAGCACACTCAACAATATATTGTTTAGATTAGCAACTGGTAATCCAAGGCCTACTGGCTAAAGCTAGCCTTTGACTTTACAAACTAAGAATACTAAGTTTTTTTAAATAAGATTTTATTGGGAGATAAATGGTAATGAAAAAAAATACAATAAAAAAAATAAAGAATAGCTTAGTGGATTGAGAACCTGGCCTGCGAACTGAAAGGTCGCCAGTTCAATTCCCTGTTGGGGGCGTGCAAGAGGCAACCGATTGATGTTTCTCTTATACACTGGTATTTCTGTCCCTCTTTTCCCCTCCTTTCCCATGCTCTCTAAAAGAATATAAATAAAATCTTTTTTTAAATGTGGAAAAAAAAAAACCTTGTTTATCTTAGAATTGACAAAGTAATTATGATACTACGCTTTTTTTTTTTTTTAACAAGACAGTGAAATACCTTTAAAATGTCAAGGGAAAAAACCAGTTTAAATGTCCAAAAATTTGTGGGGCATGAATTTATCATATGGAGAAGTCTACACTCAAAAATAGTTATAGGATGGAGTATCCTAACCTTCTGCCATCCATTCTCCATTATTTGAAAGACAGAGTTTACCAAAGTAGCTTAGAATTCATTTATATCATTGGTTCATTACAAGCACTTCAGTGGAAATAACACTTCCCATTTGGCTTGCACTAATCAGTTCTACCAAGCTGAGTAACTGATAAAGACATACAAAACTGAAAAAACATTTTATCGACCTTGTGTAGATCTATCATAAATCTTTTTATAATACTCAAAGTATGCTGAAAACCCAAGCATAAAAACTATGTCAGAAATACTTATTTAGTACATATAAAAACTTAAATAACAACCCTCAAAACCTAGGCTAAAATAGGCTAAAGATTGGATGTTTAAGTGTTTACCTTTTCTTTGTAGACACCTTTAACAACATCAGACATCCTACTCTCCAAAACAAGTTCACCTGGCATTCTTGATGAACTTCCAGGTAAAGGAGGAAAATTAGAAGCTAATAGGTCAAACTTTGGTGTTGGAGCCTTTGCTTCAGTTGAAGAAGGGGGTCTCTAAAAGATACAAATCATAAAACAGGTCACATGTCCATTTCATTCTCTAATCCTATACCACAGAAGCTGAGAGCTTCAAAAACAAACTCTACCCTAATGCACAGAATGTCCCCTATAAATTTTTGGCTACTCATCTCAGTTGAGCTCTCATTAGCATTTAAAATAAATATGGAACACTGCATGAATTTGTCTATCATCCTTGTGCAGGAACCGTGCTAATCTCTGTATCATTCCAATTTTAGTACACATGTTGCTGAAGAGAGCACTAGCTTTCATTAGTCCTTACCATTTTTTAAAAATTGTGTTTTATTGATTATGCTATTACAGTTGTCCCAATTCCTCCCTCCCCTTTCGGTTACAGGACGAGGCTCCAACCACTGAGCCACAATCAGCAAGGCTCCATCCCTTCACTTTCAGTCTGTGTGTATCTTTTGTTCTGACATGGTTCTCTTGCAGACAGCATATACACATGTCATGTTTTTATCTCCGTTCAGCTACTCTGTGTCTTTGGATTAGAACATTTAACCCATTTAAGGTTATTATTGATAGGTCTTTATTCACTGCCATTTTTCTTTATGCCCATGTGCCTCTCCATATATATATATATATATATATATATATATATATATATTTAACATTACATTTTACTGATTATGCTATTACAGTTGTCCCAGTTTATCCCCCTTAGCCCCACTCCACCCATCACCCCCACTCCCTCAAGCAATCCCTGCACCTTTGTTCATGTCCATGGGTCATGCATATAAGTTCTTTGGCTACACCATTTCCTATACTGTACTTTACATCCCTGTGGCTAGTTTCTACCTACCAATTAGTACTTTTAATCCCCTCACCTCTTTACCCATTCCCCCAAGTACCCCTCCCATGTAGCAACCATCAAAACGCTCTCCATGTCCATGATTCTGTCTCTGTTCTTGTTTGCTTAGTTTTTTAGATTCAATTGTTGATACATATTTTTGCCATTTTATTGTTTATAGTTTTGATCTTTTTTCTTTTTTTAGATTTATTTTTAGAGAGAGGAGAAGGGAAGGAGAAAAAGAGATACAGAAACATCAATGTGTGGCTGCTTCTCACGTGCCACCTCCACTGGTGACCTGGCCTGCACCCAGGAATGTGCCCTAGACTAGGAATCAAACCAGCAACCCTCTGATTCACAGGTACACGTTCAATTCACTGAGCTACACCAGCCAGGGCTGATCTTCTCTTTCTTAAATAAGTCTCCTTAACATTTCACATAATAATGGTTTAGTGATGAAAGTTTTTTCTTGTCTGGGAAGCTCTTTATCTGCCCTTTGATTCTGAATACCTTTGCCAGGTAGAGCAATCTTGGCTGTAGGTCCCTGCTTTTCATGACTTTGAATATTTCTTACTAGTTCCTTCTTGCCTGCAAAGTTTCTTTTGAGAAACCAGCTGAGTCTTATGGGAAATCCCCTATAGGTAACTAATTGTGCTTTTCTCTTGCTGCTCTTAAGATTCCCTTCTTTATCTTTAACCTTTGGCATTTTAATTATGATGTATCTTGGTGAGGACCTGTTTGCATCCATCTTGCTTGGAACTCTGTGTGTCTAACTGGACTTGCATGTCTATATTTCCTTCACCAAATTAGGGAAGTCTTCTTTCATTATTTTTTCAAATACTTCCCATTTCTTGCTTTCTCTCCTCTTTCTGGCATCCCTACATGAATGCTGGAATGCTTGAAGTTGTCCCACAGGCGGCTCACACTATCCTTGTTTTTCTGGATTCTTTTTCCTTATTGTTCTGATTGGTTGTTTTGCTTCCTTATGTTCCAAATCATTGATTTAATTCTCATCTTCATCCAATCTACTGTTGTTTCCCTGTAAATTGTTCTTTATTAGAGTTAGTGTATCCTTTATTTCTGACTGGATCTTTTTTATGCTGCTGAGGTCCTCACTAAGTTCCTTGAGTATCCTTCTATGCAGTGTTTTGAACTGTGCATCTGATAGATTGGCACAGCCTTCCCTATCACCCAAGCTGGGTACTCAAAGTGCACCCTTTGTGTGGGCTGAGTACTTCCTCCCCTTGTAGGTGAGCCCTGGTTGCTAGGACTAGCTATGACCACTGACCACCAACCTCCACGGAGGATCAGCTGTGCAGGGGCAGGGTGGTGGTGCTCCAATGTGGTCTGTAGCTGCCTACCTGGTGTGCAGGCTCTGGGGTTTCCTAGGGGGTACAGGGCAAGGTTGGCCCCCTTCTATATTTTGCCTAGGGCCACCCTGCTTGAGCTATAAAGCAATCTGGAATGGCTGCTACTGTATGTGCTAGGTTCGAATTCTACACCCCCCAAGCCAAGCTGTGAATCTAGGCTGGCTGCTTCTGGTGCTGGGCCTGGGGCCACTTCACAGGAGTTACAGGGACTAGGGGCTCATTGAGGCTGACTGTTGCTTGAGAGGATTTAGGAAGTTTTGAGGCAGCCATTCACATGGAAAAGCCACTGTTCAAGGCTTGAGTGGGTGTGTAAGTAGGGTGGGATGGAGCCTTAGGGATCTCCAGGGCAGGGTAAACAGTGTCAGCCAGGTTGATGGAGTCTCAGAGAAGGTACCCATTTGCTGGTTCTGTTTGGGGAAGGTTCAGAAAAGGAACAATGGCCTGTGGCAGCCTTTCTGTGTGGGAGAAAGCTGTCCTCCTGCTCTTGACTTGATGCCAAATACTTCAGTTCCTCCCTGTGTGCCCATGGTGCCCTTCCTGTTGGGCACCACTGCTGGAGCTCAGAGGGAGTGAGTCTGAGTAAGTCCACATATGGGTTCTTTAAGAACTACTTGGGACTCCTTAAGTTTCTTCTATGGACTCAATCCCTGCTAGTTTTTGTAGCCGCAAGTTCTGGGGACTTATCTTACTGGCACCAGAACCCTGGGCTAGGGTACCTGGTGTGGGACCAGCCCATTTCACATGTTCGCCCCTCCTACCAGTCTAGATGGATGCAGCTTCTTTGTTCTGTAGTTGTAAGACTGCCACTCAACTTGATTTCTGATAGTTCTGGGTGGTGGTTGTTCTACAGTTCAGTTGTAATTTTGAGAGTAGTTGAGGGAGGAGGTGAGCCATGTTTACCTATGCCACCATCTTGACTAGAAGTAATCATTAGTCCTTATCAACCCTACTTAATCTTTAGCTCCCTCTCCTGTTTCTTTTGAAGACTTGGCCATACACCTAAGCCTTCTAATCAATTTCCACCATTATTTGCTTTCTAAATTAGCTATTTCCTCTTTAATAACAAAAAACCCTACCTCACATAATGTTGCCATCATCTTTTTTCCTTCTTGAGACAAACCTCTCCCTTGCTGCACCTCCTCCTCTGCTTCCTCACCTCTGTACTGATCACACCACTGAGACTGCTCTGACAAATCACAATGCCTTCCACAACACAACAGCTGGAAAAGTTTTCTCCCCTGACCTTACTACAGCATTTGGCATGGTAAACACTCTTTCCTTTGGGAGCTCATTTCTCCCTTAGCTTCTGTGATACCCCTTTTGCTTGATTCTCAGATTTAACAGTCATGTGTTCTTTTCTCCCTGCATACTTTTTCTGATGGTTTTTATTTCTTTTCTTTTTCATTTATCCTCACCCAGGACACTTTTTTCACTCCTTTCAGAAAGGGAGAGAGAGAGAAACATCAATGTGAGAGAGAAGCATTGACTGGTTGCCTCCCGTATGCACCCTAACTAGGGATCATATTCACCCGACTGGGGATCGAACCCACAACTCAGGGGTGTGTGCTGACCAGGAATGGAACATACAGCCCGTTGGGTACTGAATAATGCTCCAACCAACTTACCCACACTGGCCAGATTGTTTTTGGCAGCCATCTCCACTCAGATTTTGCTTGGATACCTCACACAAATAATGAATAATCTCATTTTTCAGCCCAAAGCTACTATAGTCCCCAAGTTTCCATTCGTGTTTTTTTTTTTTAAATCACTCACTCTGAAGTTTCCTGCCATGCCCTCATCTACTCTTATGATTTCAGTTACTATGAGTAAGTTTACAAGTCCTAAATTTTACCTCTAGCTTAGATCTCACTCTTGAACAAGGGCATCCCACCCCTACCCTTCCCAGAGGAAAACACTCCTGTCTCTTTTTCTTCATCTTAACCTTTAGTCCTCAATCCAGACATTTTGAACATATTAAACAGATCTCAAATCTAATCTCTCCTCTCCTCAAATGTTCAGGGCTACTTAAGGGTGTAACTGCTACAATGGTATCCTCAGAAAATTACTGCCTAAAGTCTCACCACTGCACATGGTGTAGAAAGCTATAAATGAAAAAGACAACATTGTTTTAAAAAGTTTACACTTTCCCCTAAGAACTATTCTTTGAAATAACGCAATACATTTTCTTCTTCAAGAATGTGTATGTTTTCAATATTTACAAATGTGACATACACATATACATATATATATATAAAACAAATGGTAAGTTATATGTATGCTACTTGTAACATATAATTCACTACTTATACATGTGAAGTAAGTATTACCCATTTATGGTATATCTATAAATTCTAGGCAGGGTTTTCTTGAGACTTCCACATTTTCTTATACCATTTTTATCATTCAACATCTTTGGGCCCCAGTTAAGAGACAGTAAACTGTGTCTATAAACAAACACAACATAATCAAAATATGAATAATTTGAAGCTCGGTAAGTTAAGATTCAAATAAGAACATGTCTAGTTCTTATTTTTAAGTGATTTTATAAGATTAATGGATATAAAGAATGAACAGTAGGTGGAAAACTATTCCCCCAAAATTAGTAAATAGTGTAAGTTTCTAACACCAACAGAGCTTTAAAAGTGAATAAAATGCTTTATCAGAATGGCAAAAAAACTGCATGACCTAGAATGCTATGGCTAAGCAGGAACTTTGTTCTGTTTGTTGAACTGAAAACCAGCACAGTCCCTATAGAAAGCTATTTACCAGCAACTTATTAAATTGTTACCCAGAAATCACACTTCTAGAGATTCTCCTTCAGATATTACTGCACACATAGCAAATGATGGCTGTATGAAATTATCTCTGCACTGTTTATTATAGCACTTTCGTAGAATCAAAAGATTCAAACTGCTGAAATGTCTGTAAAGCAAGAGTTATTTTTCATAAAATATTTTCATATTTTTGATTTTTAAACTATGTGAAAAATTAGGTATTTAAGTAATGTTTTTAAAGGTGAGAAACATAGGTCAAATATCTAACTACATATGTACTTTAATGGGGAAACTGAGTGTAAAAATGG